GATAGATAGATAGATAGATAGATAGATAGATAGATAGATAGATAGATACAAGAATATTGGTGGAACTCTGCCCTTTTAATATCTTTATTCACCCAGAATTCAAGCAGGAAAAAAAAGAATATCTAAAGATAATAGTCCACAGAACTAAAAACTTGTGGGGAAAAAATTATGGCCATTGGTATTGTTTTAAACTCATTAAAATTCTTATTCTAATTGTGGGTTGTAATTTTTAAAAGATAAACATTTGTTAATAAGGTGGAAGAACAATAAAAGAAAATCAAGAGTATGGTAATATTATATAATTAATTTACAACACTACAATCCCCTTGTATATATGAGCCTAAAATTCTTCAACCACTGAATTATACAAAGCACAAAGTAATCTATGTGAGTTAAACAGAATAATGTGGTTGTGAATGCATCGTCATTCCCAAAATGTGAGTGCAAAGTGGGTATAGATAATTTCGAGTTCAATTTTATCCTTTCATATTTCTATATGGCAAAAAGGTAATAGAATTGAAAATGCCATCATTCTCTTAACTTAGAACACATTAAATCATTGACATCGAGTGACATACCAACAGTGATTGTGCATGTAGCATGTGTCCTTTAATATGTAAGCAGAGTCTTCTGAAAATATTTAGTAGTTATACTACTCCTACATCTAACACGGCGAAGCAACTGAGTAAATCTTTAGCATAAAGTGAATATAACAGATTAAAATATTATGTATACTGAACTTTATTTTATCCATATTTTATTTCAAATAGTGAGTACTAAGCATAAAAGTTCCATCCCCCAAAGGGTTAACACTTTTTAAGACCAAGAAGACAAATCTTTTAGATGTCTCTTGTCCATCTCCTAAGCATTTTGCCCATCCACTTCATCATCCTAAAACTAAACTCAAAAGAAATCAGATGGAGAAACAAGTAAGAGAAACATTTGATATTTTTTAAAAAAAGCAGCAATGAATATAAAATCTATAACTTAATTATATTACTAAATTGAACCATGTAAAGATGGGGTAAAGCTGTGAGTCTCTTAAATAGGAAAAAAAAAAGTGAATGCTTCTGAGAAGAAAGAGGTGGAAGAGGAGGAAAAAGGAGAGAAGGAAAAATGAGTTAATCAGCTAAACAGTATCAGCTTCTTCTATTTAAGTCTTTGTGCCCCCACACACACAATTTAATTACTCATGACAAGAAAGCTAAAGCAAACTCAAGAACTAAAAAATTCTTCAGCCAGTATAAGAACAATAAAAGCAGTTGAAATCATTTTCTAAGTAGACAGACAACTAAACATGAAAACATTTTCACAAGGATAATCTCTAAAGCTACCTTACTATCAGAAATTCTCTGATTTCAAATCAGTAACTGAGTGTAAATATCACACACACAAATCCAATGATGAATGGCTGAAAAAATAGTTTATGAGTATTTTATTATGTCTAATATTCAAATATGGAAATAATATGGACTCGTATTCTGCTAATGTAACTACTGATATTGTATTTAGCTTTTGAGAGCAGAGATTATGCCCATACCGCTCATTTTAACCACAGTTATCATACATATCATGCCGAGATACTATTCATAAATTTCTCCATCCTTTAATTAAAAAAAATACTTATAGATAAAACCTTGGTGTTTTTTTTTCCTATTAGAATATAATTGGACCTGGAAATGTTAATTGATTTTCTAACAGGTATATCTAATTTATTTACTGAAGCAGACAAGGAGACCATAGTGACAAATTTTTGAAAAACAAACAGGGAAAGCAATCCAGATAGCAGGAGCCCTGTTCCAAGTTTTGAGCAGCTTTTACTTAACTATAGAGCACTGTACTCCAGAAAGCTCAACCAGGGACATGAAACAGGCCGAAGCCAATTGGTTTTAAAGTCCCCAGTACTACAGTATCACAGAATTTTGTCTGTCATTAGCAACATACTTCAGAGATGCAAGAAAACATAGCAGAGAAAATTAGACAGTGTAATAGACCATTCCTCTCAAACCCTCAACCTACAAGTTATTTTATGGCATATCAAACTACTCTTATGTAACCAAAGGCGTATGTGGCTTTTCCTAAAAGATTTACACACAAATAGGAACCATCCAGAAAATAAACGAGGCAGCATTTTAAGAACAGATGTTCTTTTCTTTCCTCAGCTCAGGCTGCACCTCACAGAGCCACATGAACAGTCAGGAACTTCTGGAAGGTGAAATCGCAGAAGGCGATGTTAAGCAGAAAGATTTCAAGAAGAGGAAGTAAGCCACAATTAACCATCTGCTCTTCCCGTCTTCCTTTCAGATTAGCTACTTGAAAATATACATATTCAACATCCAGTGGAGAGCAAAGCACAGCACAGCCCCTGAGCCCAGCCCCAGCCCCAAGTTCAGTCAGCAACTTGCTTACCAAATTCCACGCGGCTGCTGGTGATAGGAGCCATGTTTTCTGCGTGCTCTGTCCGAGGTGCTGAAAGAACTCCGGGCAGATTCACCTGGAAGGACCCTGGAACGAGGCTTCCAGGGGAGGCACGGCGGGTCCGGGGACCCGCGCCTGCAGCGGGAGGGGCTGGAGGAAGGTCCGCGCGCTTTATCAGCAGTGTGTCACCCTGCCCTGTTCCTGTCTTGGCTCTTCTGAAAAGCTTGTCTCCGAGACTCCAGACGTGGCTGAAACCCGAATTGACGCAATCCTGACGCTACAGGGCTGAAATCAGCACCTGCCCTCCCCCCTCCTCTCTCCAGCCGCTCCTCCTCGCCCTCCTTCTGGCACCCTCCCTCCTCTCTTGAGGATTCAGCGCACACTCACCAATTATTTTAACTGTTGGGCTACTAGATATGAACTATACTATTAACTATGCTATTCTGTTAGGCTCAGAGGCACATGGAGACGCGTCCTGAAAAGTGTTCTTTACAGTTCTTAATCCTGGTCATATACAGACATTAAAATAAACGGCTCCTACTTATCCGACTTATTCTCTAAAATTATAATCATAATTTATAGAGAAAATAAAGAGTAAGCAGAGGGAAGCGTCCATATCAAATGGCCCCTGTAAGCTGCACCCTTGCTTCCTAAATTATTCTGTGAACTCTTGCATGTGCCGTACTTAGCACATTTGGGGAAATCCACTGCAAATTGATGTTAAAAAATAATCATGTTCACACTGCTATAGTCCAAACATTTGGTTGATGTTGCTGCTGTTTTCTGGTCTGACGCCTGTTTTCCTTTTAATATCTGACATTTGACCAGTTAAGATTCTTGGGAACAGAATGAATTATTTCAATGTAAAATTTATTCTCAGATCTGACTTCAACTATTTGGACACTGATGCTATAGCAATATTTACAGTCAAAGCTCTGGCTCCTCACAGGTTTCTGTAAGCAAATTACAAGAATTGGACCAAATTCTGAAATGATATTATTACCAGTTGCTCTCAAAGGTAAGGTAACGCTGTTTTTTGGCATGAGGATCTGGGAAAATATGGTGTCATGTTCTGATTAATTTAAATCTTAAGTGCATCTCTTTTTAAAGCAAACGCTTAGCAGGTGTAGAGAGAAGAAACACAGTTGTAACTTCTACCTAACAGTTCACACACACACACACACACACACACACACACACACACACACACTCCATTCCTCTGCAATTTAACTTCATACAGATGAGATTCCATGTGCGCTGTGTTGAAGGAGGAGGAGGCATAAGGATGTCTCAGAAAACTGCTGTGCACGAGGCAGGTGTCTGCGCACTGGCAAGCAGCTGCCCCGAGCGTCAGCAGTGTGTCTGGGGAGACACTGGTTTCAGCACTCAGCATCATGGAAAATTTTCCAAGCCGAAGCCTCCTTCCTTTCCTTTCTACCAGCTCCCACACACGTGGCGCTTGAAGCGTTCTTTGAATAGACTTTTTTTTTTTTAACCTTACAGACACAGTGCTGTGAAAAGCAGAAACGAAGTCACTGTGTGTAATGTTTCCACAGCCGTGTCTGCGACAGTGTCCTAAACGATCCAAGCGCTCGCAGCACCTGCCTCCTCAGCCCTCCGCATCCATCACCAGTGGAACTGCCCCGGGAGAGGAGAGTGGCGTTGTTCGTCTGTAAGGCGCCCCACAGCAATCCGATCATACGGTGTAAACTGTGTTAAAGTATGTGTTTCCCTTCTAGGTTGTTGTCACATATGGTCGAGCTCATTTGTCATAAACATAAGGATATTCTGTGTACGCTTTATAAAAATTAGTGCCTCATTAACTATACCTTCAGATGGTAAACATGGTATATAAAACTTGTCTAGGTTTTTTAAACAGCATTTCTCCAAGACCCAACCCATTCTGAGCCGTCTTATTGCAGAGGGCTCGATGAGAATGTGACTACTTGCCCAGAATGGATGCTATTGTAACAATTTCATTGCTTGCTCTAAAAACAAACCGAAAATAAACGCCATTAATCAAAATCTGAAGTTTCTCTCTTTTTCATTTGATGGGTATCAGTTTAGCATTTCAACAATCTCTAGACAAGCTTCAAGCAGCATCAGATAAAGAGTGCAATCAACGGAGGAAAGCCTGGAAGTTTCTTGTTATTAAGAATTGTGCCCTACCACATTCTCGCATTGTTCCTCCAGATCTAGCAAACTAGTAATCAATTTACTGACGTGTCCAATCTGATTCTTGCAGCACAGACAAGGGAGGAGGGGCGGTTGCTAGGTAACCACCCTTCTACCACCCAAAACACACAACCTCCAACAATTCCGGTCCTGGGGAGCAGAAGGTTCTGTCCCAGAGGCAGTGTTTACTTCAGAGCACTTCTTTCACGGCAAATGTCTTCCCATACTATGGTCTCAGAACAATTAGCAAAACCCTTGAATTCGACTTAGTTTTTTTTTTTTTTAAATCCAGGTAAATTTAATTGATAACTCGTTGATTTTTTTATTCTCTTGTATTCATTCAGCTAATTTTATTTAATTTAGTTTGGGATTTCATTTGTAAAGTCTATACATTATTATACATAATATTCAAAAATATTATTCAAAAATAATATTTGTTGATATATTGAGATAATTCTGTAAATCAAAGGAAAACTTTAAAAGTGTGTGAATTGTTAAAACCCTCAGTGAGTGTTGGTAACACCCAGATTTATGATACAAACCCATTCTTCTGGAGTTTGGAGTGGACTGCATATCTGATTGTAGAAAATGAATGATTGCATCAATGTTTCGGGATTAAGAATGCTGGCTTTGACACACATGGGAAGGTTTTATATTGCACACATACCTAATTCTACTTGTCCAATCGTGCCACCCAAGTGTCTTTATGATTTCCTGTTGGAGTTTCAAAGAGTCGGGTTTTACATTCAGCTCTTGATTAATTTGTAATTGCCTTTTGTAGGAAGTGAGTAAAATGGGACTCGGGTTTCATTTTTATACATGTGAATGTCCAGCCAGCGAGCCAGTGTCACACCCAGCATTGCCAGTTCCATTTGTTGAAGAGGTTTTCTTTTCTCCAATGTATATCCTTTGTAGCGACTGTGTTAGAACAGATGTCTGTAGCTGTGCAGGTATGTGCTCTGTTCTACTGGATTTTGTGCCACAAAGTTTTTGTTACTATAACTCCATAACATAATTTGAGATCAACTGTTGTGATACACCTAGCATTGTTAATTTTGCTCAGGGTGTCTTTGGCTATACCAGATCGCTTTTACTTCCATATTAACTTAAGAAATATTTTCCTATTTCCACAAAAAAAAAAAAGGAGGGGGTTGTTATTGGAAAGTGTTGAGGTTTGAATAAAATGGTCTTTAAGTTTTTAACATACTCTGCTTGCGTTAAAATACATACATGAAACTGCTAAAATACAACATGCATTAAACAGGATGAATAAGAACTTATTAAAATATAAAAATAAACTGAGGTAGAAACTTAGAAATACAAGAAAAGAAAGAAAATATTAAATTTGTGTTAGAAAGTATTTACCAAAAATAAGAATCCAACAGCATGTAGACTTAAGTTTCAAATAACTTACCATCGTTTTCATAACAAAAACAAACAAAATTATAAAAATTGAATAGAAACATTATTCCTTCCATTTCCGGGCAGAGTGGTGATCTAGGTATGTTAACACATGACCAGAGTCTTACTTTTAAAGCATAAATGTAAAATAACTTTTAAAGCATAGAAAGTCTTGGGAATCAAGATTACTCAGATATATAAAGCAAGATGGTAACTTAAAGAAAAATGAGAAAATATACCTAGATAGTATCATAAGAAATGGCTTTAACCTGCACAGATGTAGCCCGTGGCAGCTCAGTGTTCAAGTGGGTTCTGTAGTAAGGGGAACAAAGGCTGTCTCTGACATGAACTCAGTAGCTGGCCCTTTGATCACACACACACACACCACCACCACCACCACCACCACCACCACCACCACCACCACCACCACCACCTGAGGGGGGAACAGCCTTACCAGGCCACAGAAGAAGACAGTGCAGCCAGTCCTGGTGAAACCTGATAGGCTAGGGTGAGATGGAAGGGGAAAAGGACCTCCACTATCAATGGACAGGGGGAGGGGAATGGGAAGAGAAGAGGGAGGGAGAGCAGGATTGGGAGGGGAAGAGGAGGGGGCCACAACTGGGACACAAAGTGAATAAATTGTAATAAAAATAAACAAATAAAATGCTGGGGAAAAAATAGCTTTAAAAATAAAAGCTGAATAGATTTCAGAGGTTGCAGGTTAGAATGCTACTGAGAGAAGCAAAGAATCATATTTATACCCTGCTGAAGCAATCGCCATTCACACGTCACAGGCATCAAGATATTCTTATGCCGGCCCAGGAGGCAGTTCATATAACAATGCAGATGACACACTCTTGTGATAACAAAGAGCTAAAGGCAAAATGAAATTGTCTTTTCCACATGAACAAATAGATTTTGCAAGGATTCTGTAGTTGAAATAAATATCAAAATACTATATAAACTTTCAAACTTATGAGTATATAAATCATAATTTTATGTTATAAAATATTATGCCTAACATACAGAATTAGTTTTTTTTTCTTTATATTAATTTAAACTTATTTTAACAGAGACACAAATGCATAGATATCATACATATTTATGTGATATCATGCAATATTGCCACATGTGCTTACTTTGTGAAATGTTTAAATCATTTCAACCATCTATCTTTCCAAACATTTAGCATTTATTTATGCTAAAATCATTTTCAGTGTTTGTGATACATAGTACATTATTACCATTTATAGTTATCCTACTTTTCAAGAGAAAGCCAGAAATTCTTGCTCTTTTTTCAAATTTTTGATAATTTTAAACATGGATTTTGTATTTACAGCATTTTCACGCCTCCTCCTCCTCTAGCCCAGTTTCTTCTATGACCTCCATTTCTTCTTCTCAAACTGTTGACCACCGTGTGTGTGTGTGTGTGTGTGTGTGTGTGTGTGTGTGTGTGTGTAAATAAAACCTGCTGAGTTCTATTGTTACTCATGTGTACATGTTCAGTGCTAAACACTTGGAATTGGATATCAGGGGCCTCTGTCTTGGATAAGACCCTCTCTCAGCCACCAATTCCTTACAGCCCTTTATCAAAGGGTGGGGCCTTGTGAGATCTCCTTCATCCACATTGGTATGTCAACTGGTGTCACTGTGAAGGTCTTGATTTTAGTGATAATATTGTTGAGA